TTCAGAAATAAACTAATCCATTTTTTTGCTTTAATCATGAGACTGTGGAAATGCATTTTGGGGGCTGAAACCAAACATCTGAAGAGAAAACAAATGCCAGTGAAAAGCAGCAATCAAACAGAAATGGTGTGACAATTTTATTTTGTTTTTTATTTTTGGCTGAAAGTACCAGTAGTAGTCCCAGCGTGGATTGATCTTGGACATGCGGTTTACCCCGTATGGGTACTCGGAGACGGAGCGGCGGGCGTTTCTGAAGGCGCAGCACCCGCAGGCGCAGATGCAGATGAGGAAGACGAGCACGATGACGTTTAGCACGGAGATCTTGTGCCAGTCCTGGCGCACCTGCTCCATCACGCCGGCCTTGCACGAGTTACACTGGTAGCACAGGATGTTTGGGGCATTGTTCCACTGGTAGCAGTCCTCGTCCTGCGCTCCGACCGGCATCCCCCCGCTGTATGTGCATGATGTTGGTGGCTTGCAGCACCCAGACTGCATGATAGCGCATAGTTCCATTAGTAATTTTAGCAGCAAAGCTATTAGTTAGAACTACAACTTGTACTAAAGTAGCAGAGGTGCAGGAGCACTGAAGATGCTCTGGGCTAGAGATTTAGTAGACCTAGTTTGTTTAGTTTATCTGAAAATGGGTTCAAACTTTGTCCTGGGGTCACACTCTTTACTGGGTTTTGAATCTTGGTGGTCAATAAATTTGATGTTTTTGTCCAAATAGACAATGAACATAAACCTGTGCTTGAGATATTTAAATTTACATAGATGCAACTGGTGAACTGGATCAATAAATTGTTTAGCTATTTTTTATGTTACCATTTCTTTGACAATCTGTTATGTTTGTGCTGGCTATAGTTCAGATTATCAATTCTGTGGTACTACAACTACAAGTGCTGAAAGCAGTGGTGACAAATAGCAAGAGGAGCAAACATGGAAGAAAATGGACCGGTGGCTGAACTGCAAACCTGTATTGGCGTGAGATCATGCTGGAGGTAATCCATGGGAGTCCAGTTGGCGATCTTGGGGCATGCCTTGGACCCGACGACGCAGGCCAGCGCGGGCTTCCAGTACTTGATGTCCTGCATATGCTTCTGGAGCCACGAGGAGTAGTCCGAGATGTGGTACTCCCTGTACGGCCTGCCCTGCACCTGCGTGCCGCCGCCCCCCGCCGTGACGGCGAACCCGAACATGGTGAGCCCGAGCAGCATGCCGATGAGGAGTATCACGGCGAAGAGGTAGAGCCACAGCGCCCATGCGACGTGGAAGCAGGCGCCCACGAAGCCCGCGAGGGAGATGAGGAGCACGATGAAGCCGATGATGAGCAGCGGCGTCTGCAGCATGGAGGAGCACGTCGTCGTCGAGCCCTTGGCCAGCCAGAGCCCCGCCCCGATGACCGGGATGGAGGCCAGGAGCGTGGCCAGGTTGAGGTAGCCGATCATCATGTTGCTGAAACGCTGAGGGTAGTACATGCCGTTCATCTTGCTCCTGCTCAGGTTCTTCCTGCTCCTTGTCCTGCTCCTGCTCTGTTCTTATGTGCACTGCTGCTGTTGGCCTTTGGTTTGGTTTATATGATATGGATAGCTAGCTACGGTGTTCTTGGCTCTTGTTGTTGCCCTTAATTTGATTTGGCTTGTCTCACTCACTCTCACTCTCTCTTCTACTGATTGGGATGGTGGTAGTGTGTCCTGGAGCGGCCTGGTGCAAAGCAAGCCTTGCCTTTCTTGTTGCCTTGGAGGAACTACTTTTGCATCCTGGTGACTGTGCGTGTATGTGTGTGTCCCTGCAATGCGGCGTACTTGTGGGTATTCTAATGCTGGCTTTGGCTTTGCCTTTGTGGAGGCCGTTCTTTAATAATGCCGTGGTGGTTTTCGCCTTTATTTATTTAATTTGTTTCGGTTCAAGCTTTCGCTTTTTTCGCGCTACGTGTTTGATTTCAACCCGTCGCCGTGTTTTCCGCCTTAGCAGTCTATTTCTTTCTTTCTTGCAAAAAATACCATTCTACAGTAAAATGGTAGGAAGCACTGCCATTTTCATTTTTTTCACATTCATCAAAGCTCAGCCAGTCCACAGGATAAGAATTGAAGAGCATCATGCCTTATAATACCAATAAACAAGGATATAGTCCTATATATTTGAGAGAAGCATATATCTGCCTGTTTTCTTATTTGCTGGAATAAGAATAAAACCTCCCACAGATTTCCATGTTTGGCATCGATTCTCCATTGCCCAAAAGCATCGGAATTATGGCGCGGCATCGTCCTCGATGCCCCGGATGCTTAATCATGAAGCAAAAACACATAAACACAGGAGATAGGTCCGGGCATCCGGATTCCGGCTTTCTGGACGACCATGGCCCTTCCTTTCTTCTTCTCCTCCTTACATCAGAGTGCACGAAGCAGGCCTGCTTTGCTTTATAGCCATAATATACGACACAACCATTATCACTTTGCATGCAGGTAGAAAAGATGGAAGGAGGGTCCTAGCCAGTCGTCTTGTTGCCCGGATCAGTGGCAAATGGAAAGTGCATCGTATCCACTTTTCATCCTTTGCTCACCACCTTTCTTTCTCTTTGATGATTTGTGTATTCTCTTTGGGCAGGATAAGCTCATCAGGATGCCGGCGGCCAATCAGCTTAAAGCAGCGGATGCGATGATTTGCTCTAATGACAAATGTGGCGCCGCTAACCACATATACTTTTCAACTTTGAAGAATTTCCCTTTTTCTTTTTCACTGCCCCGAGACCCGAGTGATGGCGGATCGGCTTCTCTGGGATGTGAAAGCACGTTTGCGGTGACAGAAAACGCGCACCGGAGTACTTACACTGCGCCGGAGTCCTACGTTCTGCATTCTTTTTCTTCATCTCCTTCCTCGGCTTGTTCTATACGTAAATAAATTCCGCACTTACTTCCTCCGTTTCAAATTACTCGTCGCAGAAATGGATGTATCTAAAACTAAAATACATCTAGATACATCCATACCTACGACAAGTAATTCAGAACGGAGGGAGTACGTTGTGTGATAAACTGACACGGAGTTCATTAATTTTTGACGAAACAACAGGGTAGTGATGTATTTCATTCATCAAGAAGACCTGGCGCTGGATACCAGTATAAACAGCAAGCTAAAACTTTGTTCAAAACAAGAAAGACAACACGGTGCTGGGTACCGGTATAAACGGCCAGCTAGATAGATAGATGTATCAAGGGGGGCTTGAATATCCGGTCGAGTTGGCTCATCCCGGCCACAGAGGCTGCACAGGGGGTCGTGTTGGACATCGCCAAATTATCTTTGGCCAAGCACTTTCACCCAACCACGCCAACATCTCTGTTCTGTTCGAGGACCAGCCTTCACCGACCGAATCGAGCTCTTGTCGTCGGTACGCAGCGTTCCTTCAAACTGACAGGTGAGGCTCGAACCTCATCCAATTTGTCCTTCTCCAGAGCTTTGCCGAGTGTCAGTCGGGGCGCCTTGTGCAGTGCTTGGTCAGGCCAGGCCACCGGTCAAAATGAGCTGAGCAGACGAGGAATTATGCTCAACTTTAAATAGGCAGAAGTGAGGCCGGGGGCAGCAAAGTGAAGATGGCACTGTTGAGAGTCAGCTTGCCGCTGGCCGAGAGTAGACGCCGGCTCCCCCTTGGCAGACCCCATCGTCTCGCTGAATCCTTGAGCCCCAAGCACGGGCTCCATTTTAGAGCGACCGAAAGGACTTGATCGTCCAGATGGCATCGCCGATTCTCATGCATATCCCTTGGCAAATTTGCTCTTCTTCCGGTTCGTCCAAGTTCCAAGCACCATTGGCCGGATAGTCACCTGTGGAGCAAAGCGTAAAACACATGATGCAGAGATATTTGCTACAGTACATTTGAGGGGTCGGCAAAGAGGCTCGTGTACCCTCAAAATTTGCATGTAGATATGATCTTTCATTGTTATAATTGATCGATGCTGCAATAAACCAAACAATGCTAGTTATTGTTCCCACAAAAAGTTTTTTATACTAGTTATTGGGAAAGAAAGGTAAAAAATAAGGATGGCAACTGCAAAGGATTCTCTCCGCAGGGTTGTCAAACACGGATATATGCTGCCAAATGGAGACACTGGATTAAGCCACCGCAATTTATCAGCATATAAAAAGGATGGGGCCAAGGGCGCTAAAACTCAAATGAAACAAAAAAACAGGAGAAATAGATGCCAAGAACACCAGCCTTGCTCTCAGACGAACAGATGATACTCTCAGAAAAACACACTATACTTGTTTGATTGTCTTCTAAAATGCGCCCAATGGTACGTGAATGCAGCCTGGGCTCGGAAATAGTCAGTCAACTTGTAAAATGCAATGAATGGATGATGGAAATCGAATTTGAGCTCAGGAGCAAATATGGAATTTCATGAAGCTGCTACCTTGTATTTTGAGTATCTTATTCTTACGATTTAAGATGTGCTCCCATGGTTTCTCTCTGAATGTTCTGGTCATAAAGAGATGGTCAGGCACAATTAAACAAATTAAGTCAGTAAACATAAAAATCTTGCAGTAGATAAGTAGGACCAAACTTGGCAATTATTCCTAAACAAAAATTGAGAATGCATGATACAATTTTGTAAGACCTTAAAGATATAATTGGGTGCAACCCATGTCGGTTGGCACACCGTATCAATACGACAAATTCCCCCCAAAACTAGTCATTTAATGCTATCCATTGCCTCCATCAAAGCATCCATGATGTTGTAAAAAAGGGTGCAAACCTTAGCTTCAGCAACCAGCCCTGATTCATCAACTGATGTTTTCTTGAGGAATCAACTTGACAGATGAAGAAATAAAAGATTTAAAGGTTTCGTGCTGCACAGTTTGGGAAAACGAAGTCAGGTCAGGATTGTCACAACATAAATGTACGTGATGGCATTGGATTCAGAAAATCAGGTACTGACCCTGAAAGATTGTGGTGAGATACATCCCTGGAAATGCGAAGTAACATGAAGCACTTACAAACAGATGTTTAAGTATGATAGAACAAATTCCAATGCGTTGCACCCATGAACTTTTGGATTGAGATATTTAGTAATTCAAGCTTAAAAAACAGAAGGAACTGAACCCAAGATTAGGCATTCATTCCATGTTCGAATAAGTCACACACATATTGTTTAACAATAAATAAAAAATCAACTGATAAAATGATAATTTTAATTTTTTATAAGATAGCTTTGAGGTCCTGAGGTAATTTGTTACTGTAGACTGTAGTTTAGAAAGAGACAGCATTGAGCTGTCAATGGTCATACATGTCCAAAAATGCAAACACTGTTAATTCACCTCGATTAACTCAGGGATGAAATCCGCCGTGATGTGCATATGCTCCCAAATATTAGTAATCTTTTCACCATTAGCAAATGCGTCATGGACCAGACCGCCATTGTGGAGGTGGCCTGCAGATCAGGGACAATGACCATAGGATGCACACCCAACAGCTAAGCACCGACAAGAACACCACGGTGGCACCGTCACCCAGCTCAATATTGGCAGGCACACAGAAGAGACTTGTCTACATCGTTGAGAGGGAGATGTGAACCATGACAAGGCTTATCTGCCAAGTCCAGCGCATCAACTGATTCCATCGAAAAATTGGTACTTTGCAGGGAGCAATTGTAGTTGTTCCCGATATTTCCCATTCCCTGAAAAGAGAGACAACAACAACGAACTAGTTGAAGCTTCAAGTGAGATGCTCTTCCCATCAACTTTAGACATATATTTTCCGGCCTTGACTATCTCCCCCTTTTCCAATAAAGTTCTGATGACATCATTTACAAGACGAGAGCTAGGAGCACAACCACTCTTCTCCATTGATGAGAACATACTGTCAGCTTCCTCCACTGCTCCTTCTTTTAGAAGATTTTGTACCATCACTCCGTAAGTGGAAGCATTAGGCACCAACCCGCTGACTGGTAATGCAGCAAACAAATCATTAGCTTCTTCTCTTCTTTCAACCTTGTACAATGCATTAATGATGGTATTGAGTGTTGTGATATTGAACTTCACATTCATTGCACGTAATTTCTGGAATAGGACGACCGCTTCATCTGCGCAATTATTTCTACAAAGTCCTCCAAGAATTATATTATATGTAGAAATGCTCACCATTATTCCACTTTCGATCATCTCATCGAAGATTTTCTTCGCATCAGCAGTTCTCCCAGCACGAAATAATCCATTCAGTATGGTTTCATATGTAACAGTTGTAGGTTTAACTTTCTTATGCAACATTTGTCTGAACAGAATCAACCCATCATCGATCCTTCCACGTTTACAATATCTACTGACAAGTGTGCTATACATAATGACATTAGGCTCAATGCCAGCTGATACCATGGCATCAAGTACTCCACATGCTTTGTCCATCTCGCCGACTAAGCAATATCCGTCAATCAGCGTACTAAACATACTGATATCAGGTTTCTCACCTATGTCTATAACCAAGTCAAAGATATGGTGTGCATCTATAACCCTTCCTTCATTGCATAGACTGTCCATTATCGAACTAAAGAGTGCAGTGTTTGGACGAGCAATACTTTTATTCATCATTTCAGAAATCAACTCCTTCGCTTTCACCAAATCACCATGTGTACATAAGAACTGAACTAGGGAGTGATAAACAACTGTGTCCGGCTGTACTCCCGTACCAACAACCATCTGACTGAACTTATCCATGGCATCAGTCAGCTTACCCATTCTCCAATGTGCAGATATTAGAGTTGAATAGGTGACTACATCCGGACTCAGTCCTTGTCCCCGCATTTCAGTAAGTATGAGCATAGCTTCATCTATCAGCCCTCGTTTAGCATATGCACCAATTAATATGTTGAAAACTTTGCAGTTGGCTACAATGCCGCCGCCTTTCATTGAATTGAAGAGACTCATCATATCAGCAAAGCTTCCTTCATTGGCATACCCATGAAGAAGAATAGTGTAGGAGACAATATTAGGCTTGCTGCCCTTTCCAGCCATGGAAAAGAAAACTTCTGCAGCTTCTTTGGTTCTTCCATGCTTGCAGAGGGAGTCCATGAACGAGTTCCAAGTGACAGTATCTGGTATAAGACCACGGCTTGTCATTTCTCTGAACATTTTACGCACCTGTTTCCACCGGCCCAAAGTGGAATATCCATGGATCATGCTAGTATATGTCACCTCATCCGGTCGAACACCATCATCAACCATCTGCCGAAGGAACAACTCTGCCTTGTACATTGCTCCAGCTTTGCACAATGCATCGATAATCGAGCTATACGTCACCACATCAGGCACAACCCCTTGCCGCATCATTTCATCGAATAGATTGCATGCCTTGTCTACTTTGCCTTCCTTCAAGAAGCCGTGGATGACCGTGCTATATGCCACCATGTCGGGGGAGCAGGCACCTCCTTCCTTCGACGCCATCTGGAGCAGTAGGTCGAGCGCCTGCAAGCTCCTGCCGTCTTCACACAAGCTCTTCAGAACTGTGTTGTATGAGAAGGCATCAGGTACACAGCCGAGGTCGGACATCCTATGAAGCAGCATATTGACAGCCTCGTCGGTATGTTTTGCGCAGCAGAGGCACTTGATGACGGTGTTGGCGGCGATCTGGTTTGCCTTCAGGCCCGCCCTGAGGATGCGCCCAAAGTAGGCGAGCCCTAGGTCCGGACGACCCATACGGCAGCAGCAGTTCATGAGGATGCCGTAGGTGAAGATGGTTGGCGGCGCAACCCGCATGCCGGCTTCTTCTCGGCAGACACGGTTGAAGAGGGTGAGGGCGAGGGAGGGGCCGTCTCTGCAGGCCTCAGAGGGCGTGGCACGGCCGAGGGCGGCAAGGAATCCATCAAGGGAGCGCTCGGGAACCGGAGTGGCCTGCCGAAACAATTCGTCGAACAGGTGGTGTGCGTCTTGCGGGCTGAGCGTTCCGGCGCGGACGCGCTCCGTGGCCGCGGCAAAGGCGGCGTGGGGAGACCAGGTTGGTGAGGGCGGCGAGGTGCAGTTGGAGAAGGAGGAGAGGCGGCGGCGGAGGCAGACGCGGGACATGGGCATAGTGGAGCAATGGCGGAGGTGGATGCTGGACATCAGCGTGATGAAGAGGAGGAGCTGCGGAGGCGCAAGCCGGACGTCGGCTAGGTAGAGAAGGAGGAGGAGGAGGGTGAGCGGCGGCGGCGGATGCGGATGCGGGACACTCCGGCGGGGAGGCGCGCCAGTATATGTACATCTTTTTTTTAGCATCAGTACAAACACAAGCGCTCATACACACGCACATACACTCATCTCTATGAACGCACACACGCACACCCTATCCCTATGAGCACCTCTGAGAGACTGAGCCGGCATATCATCTTGAGATTTACGAAGTCACCGTAGACGCCTCGTCGTCGAAGGGAACGTCTCCTCCCACTGAAAGCGCATCGCCGGAAATCCTGAAATAAATCCAGGAATAATGCGAGCACCAGGATTTGAACCCTGGTGGGTTGGGGATACCACTGTCCACCTAACCAACTCAACCTAAGGTTGATTCGTTATGTACATCTTTTTTGTTTGGTCGATTTTACTGCTTATTAATGATATCATACAGTACGAAAGTTTTTGGGAGCGTAGCATACAGTATGAAAGTTTTTGGGAGCATATCATCTCGCTTGAATACACAAACCGACGTCAAAGAGGATGCAAACGGGAGCAGAAGGGGGAGGTTGTCGGCATCGGTACAACAGGATCTCAGGTTACAAAAACATGGTATCCAAGCCCTTAGCGTCCACTCTAGCCCAAACCGGCGCTTCATCCTTGATCTTGTTGATGAGGTTTTCAGTCGATGAGCGTAGCCATCGAAGACTGCAGCGTTGCGGTGCTTCCAAATGAGCCACACAGTTAGACTGATGATATACTAGATGCCTTTGCACATGCCGGTAGGAGACGATGAAGCAATTTCAGACCACCATTCGAAGAAACTCGCTGTGCCATTCGAAGGTGGTAAAGGGAGATGACACCAAGATAGAACTTTGTGCCAAGTGATCCACGAGAACATACACCCGTAAATTAGATAGCCAATGGTCTCGAACTCCTGAGAGCACATGACACAAGCAGGGGCATGCGAGAGGCCATGACGCGCGCGGCGGTCAGCAGTCCACTAATGGTCGAGGGACGCGAGCCATAGGAATAATTTGTTTTGTTGAGGGGTGACCAACTCTTCCATACCAGACACCAAGCCGGCAACGCGGTCGAACCATGTAGCAGGATCGGGCGGAGTACTGGTCGTTCGGTTACCACTTCCAAACGATTTTGTTAGGAGCATAAGTGAGCATGCCATGGCAAATGCGCTGCGAAAGGTCCACGTACTCGATCGTAGCCTCTGAACCGAGAGTGTCATGGATATCGTTGATCCAACTTCAATTCGCAAGCCCATCGCAATCGATAGTGCGGCGATGCGGGATGAGGTTGATTAGGTGAGGAGCGAAACCGGAGATGGACTGGCCGCCCAACCAGTGATCGCACCAGAAGCGACAAGTTTTGTCGTCGCTAATGGTCCATATCGTGGACATGCAGAAGAATTTGCTAGTCTCATCGTCGGAGGGAGGTTGACGGTGACGCCAGGGGTGGTTAGGGTCAGTGGCGGCCTCGATCCATAACCTGTGGGTGTGCAGAGAGAGATGCCCGTGCGATGCAGAATGCGCACGATAAGGCCGCCTGTTAGACTGTATTTACATGTGTATATTGTAACGTTGTATACCACCTCATTATATATATATGTGATAGGCTATCCCTAGAGGGTTGTGCCGGTTCCCCCCAAAGCCTATTGTCTTACATGGTATCACGCTAGGTTACGTCCGCTTCCGCCTAAAAACCCTAAACCGCCGCCGCCGCCGCCGCCGCCACCGCCGCCGCCGCCGCGCCCGCCGTCGCCGTCGCCCGACTGCTATGACGTCCGCCGCTGCGTCCGGCTCCACCGCCACCGGTTTTCTGCCGGCCTCCCTCGCGGCACTTCTCTCGAGGCCGCTGGATGCCGCCTCCCTTCAGGCGCCGATCGGGACACGGAGCGTCGGCTCCCTCTTCGCACTTCCGCCGGTTGCTACTTCGCCCGGGCAGGCGCTTGTGGCCCACACCGCCGCCGCCCCGTCAACCGCGGCTGTCGCGCCCTCGGCCACTGCGCCGCTGGTGGCGGAGGACGTCGCGCTGGCAGGCTTCGCGGCGTCAACCGCGGCCATCGCGCCCTCTGTCACCGCGCCGGCTGCCCCTCTGACTGTCTCCACGGTGGTCTCACCTCAGCCAGTCTCCTCGATGGGATCGCAGCCGCTGCCGCCGTTTCACTTCGGCCATCTCATCACCATCAAGTTGTCGTCGGACAATTACATCTTCTGGCGCGCGCAGGTTCTTCCGCTTCTTGGGAGTCACTATCTGCTTGGCTATGTCGACGGCTCTCTCCCTTGCCCTCCTGCGCTGGTTGACAGCGTGCACGGTCCGGTCTATAATCCGGCTCACCGTGTCTGGACAGGGCAGGATCAGGCGAACCTCTCCTCCATCCAGGGGTCGCTCTCTCCGGCCGTTGCTGGGCTTGTTGTCTTCGCCAAGACGTCCCACGAGGCATGGACTATTCTTGAGCGCTCGTTTGCAGCACAGTCGCAGGCTCGTGTATCTGGGCTCCGTCGCCAACTTGGGGAGTGTCAGAAGCTTGACTCCACCGCCACTGAGTTCTACAACAAAGTCAAGAGTCTCGCCGACACGCTGGCCTCCATTGGACAGCCCCTCACCGACTCCGAGTTCAACTCGTTTATTGTCAATGGTCTTGATGAGGAGTATGACGCCCTAGTCGAGATCATCAATGAGAGAGGCAACTCCACGCCCATGCCAGCACACGAGGTCTTTTCATGCCTCCTGCTTACTGAGCAACGAGTCGAGACGCGCCGATCCAGGGGCAATGGCGCCCTCTCGGCAAACGCCGCCACCAAGGGTGGTCGCTCCTCTGCTTTATCCAGGGCTCCTTCGGGGCAGTCACCACCACCCGCCTCGGCCCCTCCTCCTACTGCGACGCTACCAGGGGCTGGCGGTCCACGTGTGTGCCAGCTTTGTGGTCGCGATGGGCACTGGGCCTCGAAGTGTCACAAGCGCTTCCAGCGGGGTTTTCTTGGTCTCGGCAATGACGGGAAGGATACACGCAACTTTGCTCGTCAGGTCGCCATGGCTGATCGTCCGCCGCCGCAGAAGCCACAGGGACACACTCAGTCCTACTCCATTGATCCCCACTGGTACATGGACTCTGGGGCGACAAAGCACCTGACCAGTGAGATGGGGAAGCTTCACACTCGTGAACCCTACCATGGCTCCGACAAGATCCACACCGCCAATGGAGCAGGTATGCACATCTCTCATATTGGTCAAGCATCACTTCTCACTAGACATGCCAATAGGAGTCTTCAACTTCGCAATGTTCTTCGAATTCCATCTGTGACACGTAATCTTCTTTCAGTTCCTAAACTCACTCGTGATAATAATGTGCTTTGTGAATTTCATCCTTTTGATCTTTTTATTAAGGATCGGGGCACGAGGGACATTCTTCTTAGTGGGCGGCTCTGCCAAGGTCTCTATCGTCTGGAGCATCCTGGCGTCGCTCGCGTCTTCAGTGGAGTTCGGGTATCTCCGTCACAGTGGCATGCTCGTCTTGGTCACCCGGCCACACCTATTGTCCGGCATGTTTTGCGTCGTCATGAGCTTCCTAGTGTGTCTAGTAATAAAGATGTAGCAGTGTGTGATGCTTGTCAGCAGGGGAAGAGTCATCAACTTCCTTTTTCAGAGTCCAGTCATGAGGTGAAACATCCTTTAGAACTTGTGTTTTCAGATGTATGGGGTCCTGCTCAGACTTCTGTTAGTGGTCATAATTACTATATCAGTTTTGTTGATGCTTACAGCCGCTTTACCTGGCTTTATCTTATCAAACGTAAATCTGATGTGTTTGACATTTTTGTTCAGTTCCAAAAACATGTTGAACGCCTTCTCAAGCACAAAATTGTTCATGTTTAGTCGGACTGGGGTGGCGAGTATCGCAACCTCAACTCCTTCTTTCAGTCGCTTGGGATCACTCACCGTTTAGCATGTCCACATACACATCAGCAGAATGGTTCAGTAGAACGTAAGCATCTTCACATTGTTGAAGCTGGTCTGACTCTTTTGGCCCATGCATCTGTTCCGTTTCGTTTTTGGAGTGATGCTTTCACCACTGCATGTTTTCTCATCAATCGTACTCCCACTTGTGTTTTGAATATGAAGACTCCCATTGAAGTTCTCCTTAATGAACAACCGGACTACACCTTTCTCAAGGTGTTTGGGTGTGCTTGCTGGCCCCATCTCCGTCCATATAACAAGCGTAAGCTCGAGTTTCGTTCCAAGAAGTGTGTTTTTCTTGGTTATAGCTCTCTTCATAAAGGATACAAATGTCTTCATGTGCCCACTAATCGTGTCTACATCTCTCGGGATGTTGTGTTTGATGAGCATGTTTTTCCATTTGCCAAACTCCCTGTGTCCACTACTGAGCCACCTGTCATGCATTCATCCTCTGTTGCTTCTGACCAATTTGATGATGTTGCATATTCTCCTCTATTGTTGCCTAACCATGGTGCAGGCACTGGTCGTGGGGCTCGTTTGGAGATTCTGTAAGTGCCATCTTCCTCTTCGTCGCCATCGCCTTCATCCTCGGCACCTTCTGTTGTGCATGAGGAGCACATGGCGCCCCTGCATGGCCTCGGTTTCCGTGCTCATGCACGGCCGATCGACGTCCTGGCCCGGTCGCCTCTGGCTTCTGGGCTGCCTTCACCATCGTCGCGCCCTGCAACCCCGCCGACTGGGCCGGCCTCCTCGGTCCCCGTCTCGCCCAGGGCGTCGGGGCAGTCATCACCAGGCCTGGCCTCGCCCGCCCCTGCCTCGCCCAGGGTGTCTAGGCCCTTCTCATCAGGGCCGGCCTCGCCTGCTCTCGCCCCGCCAAGGCCGTCTGGGCCGGTGTCACCGGAGCTGGCCTCGCCCACTCTCGGTTCGCCCATGGCCTCTGAGCCCCTGTCGTCGGGCCAGTCTTCGCCATGCAGCCCGGAGTCGTCTGTCCCGAGCTCGCCTGAGGTGATTCCTGCATCTCCGGCGACCGTCACGTCTCCGTCACCTTCGCCTCCGCCGGCTCCTGCTGCTGCTCTACGTCCACATACGCGCAGTCGGAGTGGCATTTTTCAGCCTAAGCAACGTCACGATGGCACAGT